GTACACGGCGTACACGGCTAGGTCAATAAACTGTGTGACGCAACGTCACTAGTGCGTTGGACCAACGGAGAGCACCGATACCGCGGCACGCTCTACCGTACTCTCTCGCTCGCACACCTCGCCTCATAGACCACTGAAATTCCTCAGCACGCGTCGACACCGACGGAGAGCACCGATACCGCGGCTCGCACTACCGCTCTCGCTTGCTTCCGTTCGACCGTTCCGGCCATCTCCGGCACCATTCGGCACGCGTCGGCACCGACGGAGAGCACCGATACCGCGGCTCGCTCTACCGCTCTCGTTTATTTATAATGTTCATATTCCCCAAATAAATATCATTTTTAACTAATATGTTTAAGCGACATGTTCCTTTTAAAGATTTAGCTCTCCAGTATAAATCCCTAAGACCGTTATTTATTATTCATTTCATATCGTTAAATACGATGTTTCTCACAGGATACCGGTTTCTAATGCAGTATCACAAAATAATTGCACATATGAAACTTCTTTACCTCATCTTGACCATTCTAATTTCATAGCCCTAAACCGTTTCATATTTCATGACTGTCATATTTATTCCTTAACCTTAAACTGAAGCATCGGATATTTTTATTCCCGTCAAATCATATAGATATACGCAATATGAATGGAATATAACACTTCATTTGTGCTAATAATACTCAGAATTCATGCTTTATCGGTAACGTCGGATATTGACACTAAAATGGTAACAGTGTTATGTAGCTCTATAAATGTAGGACAGAAAAAAGCATTGGATGATAGGTCTATTCTATACCTAGTCGGTGGATTTACATCTATTCCATGTAATTTTCTGTCACATGTTTCGGGAGTTCCAAAGCTCCTTATCATTTTACCGTCAATACCCGACATTACCGACAAAGAATAAATTTTGAGTGTGACACCGACTATTTGTTGCCGCTTGCACGTGATGGTGCTGCAATCAATTTTTAAATAATGGCGCAAAATTTAGTTTAGAATTTAAATCTTACACATCAGTTTTCACGTAAAAAAATTAAACTAATTAAACTTGAAATTTCTAAAAGAAATGATATAACTTCTTAAATTATCCAATTTAATTTTCCGTATTTCATTTTAGCTTTTGTAAAGATCTATTTTTAGCAGACACATAACAGATAATTTGTAAATCCTACCGTAAATACGGCTCGTCTCAGATAATGTAATACCACTAAATACAGTGTAAATACAAGAGCTTATAGTTCTTTCTTTTGATACAGGGCTGTATCATAAATACAATTAGCAATGTACACCATGATTCATGAAGACAAAATTCGTCACCAGTAGTATATCCATGTTGACTAATCAATCAAAATCAGAGAAATTCACTCTAGATGTTCAATGTACATTCATGCAGAATCATCATCTATTTGTTAACAACATATCTAAAATGATAATTTGCACGTCTTTCATCTTAAATTATAAAAGAAAGTTCTAATTTTGACAGTAAAATACGAAGAAACGATAAAAATACGTAATCAAATATGTTACCAAATGAAATGGTTCAGAATACATCGAAGCATTCTATTTCCTTTATAACGAAGCATAACATTTCAACCATGGTTTTAACATAATGCTGTTTAATCTTTACAGTACCAAGCCCTTTTTTTGTTATCTGAATACCGAGGGGAGAGGTAGGAGGGAAATCATGTCCACCTAATAAAACTCTATAACGCTTAGAAAAACTTTGTTTTAAATATATCTGGAAATAAAGGATTTAAAATAAAGTATCCCGATAAAATCAAATATCTTTACTGCAAATAATCAGTTTTGTAAGTAATTTTTTTAAGAACGCAGAACTTCTTTGAAATTGGGACTTCAGGCAATTCACCCACTTCCACTTTGAAAATCCACAATTAAGACATACACTAGATTTTTACTGTGTCTCCCACATACCTATCTGTGCACATGAACCACATACAATTGTTGTCTTCTTTAGTTAATTATTTGTTTCGCATTTTCCGTGACATTCCTTTCCGTAACGGCGACTATTTTTCTACATCTTTCAAATTTCTATGAAACAATACTCATATGCTCCCATATGAAGAGATATTTTTACACAATATTTAATGGTTTAAAAATTCTGAAGTAATTACTTTAACGGGAATTCTCAAAATAGTAATATGGTAGTCATAAAGTACCCCTCCCCTATGATATCACAAGGTATTAAAACGCACTAATATAATAAATTAGATGTACTCCAATAAAACAAAGTACACCTATGTAACAGTATCCAAGTCATCAACACGGTCCTACTAGCATTAAAATCCCAAACGAATCGAACAATCACCCAAAATTCACCAAAACACCTCATCCACATCCCAATATCTGCTTCAATGTTCACGTACACCATACAGAGTCGAGAAGCTAAGCGACCAGTTCTCATTGACGGTTCCGGCTTCCCGCGAATTCGCGCATCAAAACGAGCCTTATCAGCCGAATTCATCTGGTCCCAGTTATGGGAAACGATCCTCGATGTATCGCGCTGCCATATGAACCTTATCGACTTTACTCATCGACCGTGCTGTATGCAGTACAGTCCGCGTGAAAAGACGACCGGCAGGCAGCGGACGAACGAAGAGTATCTAATTCGTCGTGTGTGCACGGGAGAATGGAAACGGTTCTCCATTGGCCAAGAGGAGAGGAGAGGATACAGCAGGGTAAGCTACACGGTTGGAGGTGGAAACGTGACCGAAGGTAGGGGAGCGAAAGTGAACACAGCTCCAAGAATGGGCAGGAAGAGACGAGCGGTTCGTTTAGCCTGTGGCCTGTAACTTTGACGGATAACAGTGTAAAAATTGTCGTTGTGTCTTGTGTCCACTAGACGAATTTTTATTGTATATCGTGTCTGTGTCGCGTCTCCTCGATCGAAGATAACGGAGAGAAGTGCTGAGAAAATGCGATTGCGGAACGAACGTTTCGCTCGATCGAGAAAAGCCAACCGAGTGAGATTCCCGCGATCGCACCAAACCGAGACACGCAACGTGCGCAAGGTTATGGGCGTGCTGCTGCTGCCGCGATACAGTGTGCGCCAGTGATTCTCTCACTGTGTGACATGCGTGCAGTCGCTGTTGGAAAAAATTTTCGTGCCCGCCGCGACTCGGTGCATAATCAGTTACCGCCGCGTACCCGTTCCGAACGTGAGCCTGCGGAACCCGTCGTCGTTGCGTCTCTGGTTCCGTGCTCGTGCTGACAGATCGGCACAATGACGCGAAAGTTGAGCAAGTTTTTGATACTATTCGACAATACGAACCTATTGTATTTTCCCGGCCACTTTTTGTCCGGCCGGGTGCTCATCGAGCTGGACGATGAGGCTTAGTAAGTGCACGATCGATCTATTCGGATGGGATCGATTATGTGAACTTTTCCTTTGGGAAACATATTTTTTTAGGTTCAAACTTATATTTATGGAAAGTACTTGTTGTATAGAGTTTAACGAGACCAATTTTGAATTTGGGAATGGTTTCGTTGAAAAGTTACAAGGTGAAAAATGTTGCGAAATTTCGATATATTTTCTAACCTTTATTGTGACAGTTACGGTGGTTGTCCATAGGAGTAGAGTTGATCTTGTTCTAACAGAGTGGAAGTGGTATTGGTTATGTAGGATAACGGAGGGTGATCCTAAACAAGAGGGTGTAAGAAATTGTGTGTTTATTTGGTATGTACTTTCGATCAACATAAATTTACAGTGTAAGAAAGGTTTCTCAGAGGAAAAGTTTACCCGATCGACTTTATTTTCACGTATGATATATTTTACGTAACGTTGGTAGACTTTTTGGTGAGGTGGTAGATGTAATAGAACCTGATTGAGGTGATGGAAATAACAGAAACAGGTGTTAAACGTTGAAGGAGGTAAAGGCTCTGTAAGGTATACATGGACTGTCTGATTAGTAGGGATTTTCGCTGTCATCGTCATCACTGTTGGAGTATTCTAAGCGTAGAACCTAGATACAGTGTAATAAGATATTTTTTTTCTAATTTTATTTTCGATAGTGAATCGTGTCTGAAAATTGCGCGATAACGCGTGGATTACGTAAAATAGTGATGTTTCGTCAGAATCGCTCTGAAACGCGTTGAGCTCACCTGTGGGCGGGATACTTTCTCGATTTGAAACGTGCCAGGGGGAATGAAAACAATTGCGGTAAATGAATTGTCGGGATTTTTAATTGTTCTTATGTATCTCTTGTGTATCGTACACTATGCAACGCGTGACCATAACAACACCTCTGCTGTTACTCAATTGAAATCGCTGAAAAGAATGTTTTTAGCGTGTCGGAATTAATTAATCGCAACCTATGAAATATTTATAATCTCGATATTAGTAATGTCCGTTTAAGTTGGTAATCTATTTGTTTTTTGCGATACAACTAAATTAATTAACACGGAGCAGATTCCTAATAGAAGATAATATCATTGAGGTGTCGAAAACATGTTGCCACATTCTAGAAACTGGAATGTATAAAATATTAAATCATATGTTGTATCCATCTAATAAATCTATAAACTAAAGTTGCCTGATGTTAAATAGCGCTGTCGTATTAAATTCATTAGATTTCTCTTACGCGAAGCCACTCTCTATCGTAATTAATAAAATAGACGGATAGCATGTTTTTAATCACAAGACAACGAATTTATGCAGACAAGCCCATGAAATATTTTCATATTTTTCGCGTTACCTCCGTTGATGTGCGATTTTTCACGCTCGAGAAAGATTTTATGCGGCAAAGGTTTGGCCATGATGGCAAGTGCAGCTGATTAACATATTCATAATTTGAAACTTAATTAACCTTCCCCCTTATTTTCCGTTGTTATTCAGATCATTTTTAAAAATTCCAAAAAACAAACAAAATTCGCTAAACAAAGCAGAAATAAAAATAAGAATACTTATTAGTAGATTGCGGATTGTATACATTTATCGGAAATGTGAATGTGAATAAACACGATACAGTAAAAATTTTCGTAAAGGTTAGTGTACATTTTATTTTACTTTGGAATTGCTAAACCTTCGTTGGCAGAAACAAATCTCTGACATAATTTCATTTCAGTAAATTTTACTCATAGATATCTAAATTTGCACAAGGATGCATAGTTTACTTATTAGTAAAGACTTCGTAGAATTAATGTTTCCAGAATAGAAGAGCATTGGCTCATTAAATTGATCTATGTAATGACAACTAATGATCGCAATGTGCCTTGATTACAGTACAGTGAATTTTTGTTGTTATTTCACAAAGACTTGACGAACGAAAATTCGAAAATTCGTATGCTTACCATTGATGCAAACCCGACATTTCGTTCGCATAACGGCGATCGTCGCGAATTACACAACTCCTACAATGTTAAAGCAGTCGATTATACGGACGGGATGTTTCTCTAATGATATGCTTCGTGTGTCGCAGCGTTTCAGGATTGCATTTCCATGTCATCGGTGAAGGAGTGGTCCGCGTGCGTAGTCAACGCGCCGAGAGGGTCTACGACAAGGAAAACTATATAGATTTTCGTATGAGATTGCTCGGGGAACCAGGTAATGAAAAGAAATTACATTACGGTACATTTGATGCAAGTCGTTAAAAGCAAACGGCCAGAATGTATGCACGCGGTTCGGATAATACGACTCGGTTGATAAGCCCCACGGTCGAATGGTACTTTAACAGTTAACTGACATTTGTATTTAAATAAGTGCAATAAATTACAAAATTTTTTGTTATTATATAAGTACACCATTTTTTTACTGTTACACGCAGATGGTAGGGAAGTGACGATGATATTAATAGTAACAGAAAAAGTATTAAAACTAATTCGTAGCAAGGAATGAAAATAATAAAAAGTAATATAATCATCGAATATATTCGGTTGGAGGGATAGTTCTTTTCGTTTTGCAACATTAAAAAGAGAGCAAAATGGTTTAAATAGTAATAATTTATATAAACCTTTCTAATTTCCTTAATTTCTTTCGCTTAATGGCTTCATCATGTGTCCTGATATATTATCTCGCTTTAAGATAATTACGTCAGCATCATTCAGAAGAAATTATGTCCTACTACTGTAAGAGGCCCACTGCACGAATTATGGACAATATAATTGCATAAACCGCATAATTATGAATGTGAATAAATCGTGTGTATCGCTGGACTTCTTTAGTTCCCAAGTCTCTTTTAGGCATAGATCATACAACACGTTGTTACCTACAATTGCCTGATTATAACTGGATTCTATACTAAAGGGTTATATACCCGTATATCAATAAATAAATTTCTAAATTTCTCATAAATGAAAATGAAGATGACTTTATAAAAATTTCGCACTTTCTTTTCTGTCGAATTATATTTTTACTTTTTCTTTTCTTAAATAAATGTTATATTTATTTTTTAAAATGTTACCAAAATTCTACCAAACACAAATTTTTCATTGATATGGAATAATTATAAGAATTCATCGAAAAAACATGGTGAGTTTATAGAAATTTCGGCCAGTGTTGTCCTATACTTTTGGCCATTATGGTACATATAAAACTCCACATATGTTACACACGCGATCGTCAAAGAGAAAAGCGATAAATGTTAATGGTGCATTCTCCATACGTATTCAAATCGAGCACCCAAACAGTACTCGTAGGAATATTTCTTTTCACACAATCGGCTGGCGCACCTGCGCGGTTGACGCGTCGAATAATAATGTCGAAACTGTTCTTCTTTGTTTTCCGTTCGCCGTTCGATGACACCGCCATCCAGGGGAAGGACCGTCGCTGCTATCGCCGGGAATTCACAGCTTTCCATTCAAATTAGGTCTTCCACTCGGTCTGCCGTCAACTTTTCTAGGGAAACACGGCTGGGTCCAATACTACTGCAAGGCTGCGCTTCGCGAGCCCGGCGGCCTCACGCACAAGAATCAGCAAGTGTTCATCGTGATGAACCCCATCGATCTGAATCTAGAGCCGCCGATCCTGGCGGTAAGTTCTTTTCGCCGTTAAGGATAACACGTCTTCATATTTATACATTCTTTTACTGTTGAATAATAGTGGGTAAAGATCGTGTGAAAAAGCTTCCACGTTCAATTATAGGATTCCCGCCGCTAATGACTATCGTGCATATTTATGGCGGGAAACTGTATTCCGCGAGGTTAGGCCCTTCTTCTTTCAACAGACGTCTCTGACTCGCTGTTTTTAATCTCTCTTGCAATTAGTATAAAAAAAGCGAGTTACCGGTTATTTGTAATTCGATTCATCGATGGCTGAAATGTAAATTATTGTTATCATGTTTTGTACAGGGATGTTGAATAACTGTTGCTAGTGGTTGAGGGAATTGACGGAAATATTAAGATATTTAATACTGATGTCTTAAATAATTCTATATTAAGTATAGCTATATGTTTAAATTGAATAGAACTATGTGTTTTGGAATTCAATGATTGTTTTTTTTTTAATTTATGTTTCTGCGTGCCTTGGATGATCCACTTTATCCTCGGACAATTTTTGGTTTCTTGTACCATATTTTTCTACCGCAGTCAAAGTAAATTTTGAAAATATGTGGACAAGGTGTAGGTGTTCAGTTATTTGAATATAATAACATTTATTGTAAAAATGTTAAAACACAGTACAAAACGTTCAGCACAATTCGCTGATTAGTAGAAAGTTCCAGTTTTAGTCAGACTCACAGTGAACACGTTGTGGGGTCGTTAATCGTTACCAGACTGTGGATATTTGTGCGAACAGACATTTTCGAAAGCAAATTCTGAAGTTAAGAGTAAAAATAGAAGTCTCTTTCTATTTTTAAGAATTTTATTAGGTTGAAGGAAATATAAAAAATTCCTTAAATTGGATTAAAGTGTAAAATTTTATCGAATTTCGGAAAACAATCCGCAGTCTTATCATCACGATTTGTGAGAAGCTATTCGTCACGCAAAACATTAAGTCAATGGTTTTCTTCTATTACCAAGAAGGGAACGATCGGAAGCGAAAACTCTAAGAAATTTCATTAAGATGTACAGGATGTCTGAAGTAGGTTAGTACAAGGAGGTAATTGTACAAAAAAAAATAAGTCGAAAAAGAAGAATAAATTTTTTTCATACAAGATATATTCGAGAAAAACCACTTGAAAAATTCATCGAGTATTCGCGGTGACAATAAGTAGAAACGGAATGTGATGAACAGACACGTTCGCCAAGTATTATTCAGTCGCACGCGTGTCTAACAGATTTTCAGATTCGATTATCTCGGAAACAAAGCATCATAGAAAAACATTTTATCCCATATTTTCGATTTGTTTTTGCATGCAGAATAACCTCCTGCACGGTTGTATCACCCGATCTGGTACACCCTGTATAAAATTTGTTAAAAAGTCTAGAAGTTAACAGGAAAGAAGGAAGAACACACACATGCGTTTAAAATTACCCCTTTATGCGTGAATTATGAATTTCTAATACAAAAAACAATTTACCACGCACTTCAGTTTGGATTTCAAATGGAAATGTTACAGCATCTGCTTACGGGTGTTGTAAGTAAGTACAGACACAATAGGTATTAAATTCATTATGTATAATTATTAATTTTTAATTTTTATTATTATAAATTATTTATTTTTTATTATTAGTACAATAGAAAAGTGACCATTCAAAGTTGTAAATCCCTTTGCAAAAAACAAATGTCTGGTAGTGTATCACAATATATGTTATGGCAGGCATTAAGAGATCAATCTCGTAAACCGTAGTAAAGAAATCACTGGCTTGCTGTGTTTAAAACTGACCATCCTGCATTCAGTAACATTCGTTATAATTTACGATCACCTTCTTCCTAGATAAACTGGTTATGATTTGTGTGCCGCTATCTCATGGTAACTATAACATGTCAGTTTGGAATCCGTTCAGCTTACGCTTTCTACCTGAAGCGTGCAATTAAACGAATCTCCGACGCGCAAGCCTGCAACGATGTTGCCAATCGTGAAATAATAACGGTCGGTTGAGTTTTACTGCGATCGCAATTACACCGTACACGACGTGCAACATAACGATTTCATTGAAAATATCATCGCCTACAACTTAATCGTTTTAGTAAATTTTTTATTTCTGGCTAATCTTTATTTGCAATAGCGTTCTAACGAGAGAATGATTGTTATTCTGGAAGATGTATCGAGGACGAACGTCGAGAAAATAGAGTTTCAAACGAATTTATTAGACTTCGACCGTTCTGGGAGGTGAAAAGAAACATGAAAGCACACGTGATTAAAATGATCGTTCGAATTACACGAATATTAATGCAATAACACAGAAATTAGTCACACTCGGATTGGAATGGTATTTATAGGGGCCTCGAATAATTTCGCGTGTGGTTTAATGTGAAAATCTAGCGGAGAAGTTTGAAGATCGGATGGAAAAACACGGATTTTTTTTTTGTCATTTACGCTTTCTTTCTTGCACGCGATCAAGAGGATTCTCGTGGCGCGTTAACATAACCGAGTTCTGGATAGTGGTCACCGACCTACGTAGAAAGCGATCGCGATCCGTGACCCTTGTAATTATGCAGGTTTTTCGCTTCCGCGAGGTCGAAACATCGATTACAATATCTTTTGTCAAAAATTCATATTAACTCAGTTATTTATACAGGGTGTGAAAAGAAAACATTCAATATTTATATGGTACACAGGACAGACTGTACTAAATAAAAAAGCCTCAGTAAACATAAGTCGAAAGGTCCACAGTTTCTGAGATATAAATATTTTTGTATGTTTGCATCGTGATTGACTTACTACTGGCTTTTCGATATTTACAGAAGGTGTTCCACTTTACTTTACTTTTTTTTTTAGTCTTTTTTTTTTCACATAAAATGCATATTTGCCATTTCTTCATTAGAGTAATACGTTGACATTTTCAGCACGATACTTTGTAACTGTGTAATACTAAATAGATCTGCAATCGCCGGTTGATGACAACTGACTGATTCCCGATGAAATCTACTGCCATGAAGTATGTATGGAAATTGAACGAGGACATTCAGAACGCGGTTTATAAACATTGAGGTAAATATGCGATGATAGAAGTCAGTAAGTCAATCATGATGTTACATACAAGAATGTTTATAATTTAAAAACGGTTTACCTTTCGACTTAAGTTTACTAAGGCTTTTTTACTCAGTACAGTTTGGCCTATGTACCATATAGATATCAAATGATTCTCTTTTAACACCCTATATTTTCTCATAAGTTCTGACAAAAGAAGGATACCATTAGAATGAGTGCTTTTTGGGTGAAAGTTGGTGCAAAGTCCACGGCCTGGCATACCCAAAAGAAATTCGAAATTATTAGCTACCAACGTTATAGAGCAAAATTTGTCTTTCGGTTAAGCTCCTTATACTGCGTGGCATAACTGTAAAAGCACTCTAAAATGTTTAATCCTTACGTATTGGGGTTACAATAAAAACGAACCATTTTTTCTTCTAGAAAATATAATTTCCCCTTTGCTGAGGAAACATTATTTCTTATTACTTGGTTCGTTTTGATTTCAACCAACAATAAATAAGAATTTAGAATTTCAGGGTGGTTTTAATTATGCCATGCAGTGTATATCCAAACAATTTTTTTAAAGTATACTTTTTACTTTATAACCTAATTCTAGTTAATACCCTTTAGAATATTTTATAAGGAATCGTCTCAATTTTTAGTGTGTTTTTTAGTCACTTCTAAGTAGTTTTAGTACCTGTGCAACTTGAAAAACAATAGAATAGAGGCATCTGTAAGGTATCTTTACAGCAGGACGGTTGGCATATTCTGGTTTAAAAGCTCAAGATAAAATTACAATTTCAGGAATTATGAATGAAAAAAACATTAAGTTAAATAATTTTTTTAACCAGAGTACATTTAAAATTTGATATTTTAAACGAAGAATCATTTTCTACCGACCATTTCGATAAAGGTTTGCTGAAATGTTTAATCGTGGTAACAGCGTTAAACGAAACGACGATCGGAGCATTACGGTAATTTTTATGAAGAAACCTCACCACGTTTGTAATTTTGCCCGATACATTGTGCAATATTGTTTTCCTCCAATTTGCAACCACACCTTAAAGAGTGTGTTCCCGTTTACAAGACGATAAAGCCACATTTGCACACCATTATAAACATGTAACATAAGATAATTATTACGTAGGCACGTGACATTCAGCACCGAACGCGACCGCATTGTTGATTCGACTGTATAGTCACATTCATTGCACACGCTTCGCGTTGCATAATCGAGAGGTATCTAACAAGTGATAGTCAATAGTATCGATAGCTTGCTCTCATAAGAAATAAACGAACCGAGAGACGTTTTATTTTATTTCACTGGATCGTAATAAAATGTACACAGACAGACGTGATTAGACTTCTCGTATCATTCGTAACGTTTTATTGGGTGTACCAAATAAGTAATCCACTATTTTCATTTAATAAACTGGTAACACAGTTTGAATTTAAAACATTTTAAAACATTTTTCTTCATTCAAAATGGCGGCGAACATTGAAGAACAAGGACAAATATCATTGAAATAATATAGACTTCTGATTTCCTCGAACATCAGTATTGATTTTGGTAAAATAGGTAATTCTATAAGAAAAAATAAATTGAAAAAAGAAAGATTTTTTCGAGTGAGGCTTCGTTTTCAAGATAATCGAATTTGAAAATTTTTTCGATGCAGGGACAATAGAATTATGGTTAACGCATCTGTTTATTGCAGGTAATTTCTACTTATTTTCAGCACAAATACACATGATTTAGATGAATTTTCAAATCCTATTTTCTCGAAAACGAAAATAAAAAGATTCCTTTATTTTTTCTTATAGAATCATATCCTGTCCAGTTGTTATACCGGACTCGAGATACCCTATATGTATAGTAGATTTGTAGATTATCTATTGGTACACCTAATATTGTATTCGCTACTCAATTAATCGCTGATATATGATACATTTTTACATACCTATTATTTTACATTTTCACAAATGAATCATGAATATCTCCTTTTAAAATTCTCTATACGTACGAAACATAGAAATTCGCATCGAACGTATGATGTTCTTACTAATGTTACAACTTGGTAATATTATCGATTAAATAAGAAATGAACTTGTTAAGGGGTTTATTAGACGAAGAGGGCATCAATGCATGTCAACATTAGAATTACCAGCCTTGAATGTATACTAAATGAAATGTTATAATACATTGATACATATAATGTATTATACAGTAACATAATATGATATAATATAAAACTATATAATGATTTAAAAGTCATCATAAACTCCGACAACAGCATGCAATTTCAATAATTGTACGATATGAAATTTTAAAATCCGTCATTTTGACGGGTTCTAGTAGTTCTAGTATTAAAGATGCATGCTTATGTATGCAAATGTTGTTATCAGCAACCTGCACGACAAGAGATCGAGCAACGGGTCGGTGTCTCCTGTGTCTCCGGGGGCCCTGTATTCTGCAGGGTGAGCCTCGACAGAGGCGGATACGTTCCAGGTGAAACTATTGGCATTTCAGCGACCGTCAGCAATCGGAGCAAGGTATGTATCGTATTTCGATTCGTTGGTTAACCGAAAGAATTTCTAACGTGGAAACGGGGCCGACGATAATACGACACCGCCTTGTATCTTTTAAGAGCGTGAGCTTTTCTCGCGACTGATCGAAAGTTGTCGAGCAAGTCAATAACGATATACATTTCTCAAACGGTATATTTGTCGTTTGTACAGATGAAAGTACATCCGTCCCTCAATTTACGCGGCACTTTTTTTACGCGGTAAATTACAACCCAATTTACGCGGTATTTTTTTATGCGCGATCTTAATTTAAGCGGCCAAAAAATATATTTTCCTAGAAGTTTTCAAAGTAACAAGTGTATACAGTAACTTATTCGGCGATGTTGAAACGCGTCAGTGCTGTACGAGATGTGGATAAAAGTACATTACGTTTTATCATACTATTAAGATTTATAATTTATATTGTAATTTTAACCCAGAAATGTTTAACAACGATCGTACCGATAATGATATCGAATAAAATTTACTTTTGTTTTCTGAAACGTCATTGTTTGTTTTGTTAAGCTATTTGAAATAAATATGTATTTCTAAAACTTATATGTACTAGCTTTTATTTGTAATATTTTTTTTTTTGTACTGACAGACTTTATTTACGCGATTTTCATTCGTGTAAAACGAATCCACGTGAAACGGATACTCTACGTAAATTGAGGGACGGGTCTAGTAACTTCTATTTCGGTCTATAAATAATCAGTTCACAAAAAAGACAGAAGGTTGTAATATATATAAATAGAATAATAACATAATATAATAAAAAATAAAGAAAACTGTATAATTGCATAATTGTAGAATTTGCTGGTATTTAAACGAAATATTTGTCAATTAGAATACATGTCCATTGGGGGCTTCGAGTTAGCGTATAATATAAATGTTATTATTTTTCAAACATTGAGAAGAATATTAATAGACATTATTCTATCTATGTTACTTCCTTCGACTCGTCTTTCAATCAATCTCTGAAGTTGAATAACTTCTTGTGAAATGAAAGAGTACAATAAAAATATATAAAAAAATTCTTCGTTGAATGAAACGAAAGACTAGATCTATGAAACAATTCTGTTATCTTCTTATCTCTATTTAAATTTTAAAAAACAAATAGAGAATTTTTACAAGAACAACATTAGCAGACTGCTGACAAGACATCCAATAAGGGGCTCCAAAAACGACGAAACTCCCTTACGTCTTAATAATTGGATTAATATGTTCACGATTGAAATTATCCAATAGGTGACGATGAAATCGACTAAAGCATCGTTGACTGAAACAATTCAGTATTTGTGTCGAGGTAAAGTACTTGCGAGCGAGACACGAGAGTTGGCCAGTGTCTCCAGGGGGAAAATACGTCCAGGCGAGGGTGAAGAGTGGTTGAACGAACAAATGTACGTTCCTCCATTACCGCCCACCAATCTGCGGGGGTGCCACCTAATCAACGTTCTTTATCACGTTTACGTGAGTAAAATTACTCGTTTCATAGTGGCCAAGATGTTCTCATAATAATTATGATTGCATGGAGCATGACTAATGCACTACGCTCTCTCTCCATACTCCGACTTCTTTCGCGAAATTTAACCCCACTTATGGAAAACATGGAATTTCTTTCGTGTACAGCTGTTAATTACGAGGGTATCCTACGTTATTTTTTTGTTCATTTTAGAAAATGTTTAGGAAAATGAGATTTCGAGCATTGTTACACACTTTCGAATTTTTATTACGAACCGATTAGTTGTAAGCTGGATACGTTCAATCGACAAGAGAAACCAGCAGCCAGTATCGAGAGTTTTATCATTTTAATTAGTAAATATTGCAAAATAAGAACTGTGGAAAATTGAAGGATATTGAATTAATTGAGTTAAAAACATGTGATTGACTTCCTCTTGTTTTATTATTGGCCTAATTTTTCGAAACATTTATCAATTGTTTATAGGGTTTCTCTATTGAAAAGTGCCTGAAATCGTATTAAGATTAATATAAAATAATAAGTATTAAAATTCGATATTATTCTAAGCAATAAATTTTCAGTGATATATTGTAAGAAATATTAAATCTGATATCATTAACTGATACATTTAACTCACATCCTGCAAAATCATTACATTCAAATAACAGCTAGTACTTCTCTTATTAATACGTTGTAATTATATTTTGCGTAACCGAATTAGAAGAAGAATTTCATTTGGTTACAGTTTGTAATAAGCCCAAAGAGTCTGGATAAGGAAATCAAGCTCCAAATACCAATTGTCCTAGCCACTTATCCTTTGAGGCAGGAAGGCGCTCCAGCGGGAACCGCGCCGTCGAAACGAGGAGCACATTACCCGTCAACGTTACCGATATTTCGACCGTGGCTGGACGACAAAGCTTTCGAAATACAAGAGTGACCAGGTTTAATTAACTTTCACCGATGTCCTCGATACATGTGGATATAAACTTCTCGACGGAAGTGATTCCGTGGGGGGTACTCGTAATGACAACGTGAAAAGATTTAAAGACAGTGACAGTGAACTCAGCCTTGGATACCGTTAATACGCTTATAACGATACTTATTCTAAAACAAAATGCACCTAACCATTTATACTTCTCTTAAAAACGAAAAAAGACTAAAAGTATTCGTAAATCACGATTAAAAAGGCTATTTTTATTAACACATTCCATTTTCTTAATGTTTCATTATTCCAGTGTAATTGGTAAAGGAAATGTGCATTTAACGCTGAAAAGTTAGGTATGTTAGATTGTACTCGTTAATGCTTTGTAAATGTTATATTATAAACTAAAAAACCTGTAAACAATGTTCCGTTAGAGTTAACAAAAATTTGCGTGTAAAAACTTCAATGTAAATCGAACAAAATTTCAGTTATCGACGAATTTTTTTATAGCGCAGATTGAATGATTAAAATTAACGTTGTTGTTAACGAAATCATATTTACACTGTAATGAATGTATAAAGTTAAGTGTTTTTTTATTGTATAAATTAATTGAATATGTTATGTTGACACAATTGCCATATTTATGTACAGTAAATATGACTCAACAGAGAAAGAGTATAACATTATTATACATATATAAAAAAGATAGTCATTATGACAATAAATAAAATGCTTTAGTAAGATTCCATTCTCAAGTTCCCATTTCTGCTTTTAATTTTTCCAAAACTTTCTCCACTGTGGCACCAGACACAACTACTACTTTTTGTCGACTTTTGGAACCCTATGAAAAATTATATTAGATTATATTGTTTTAAAAAATGTGAAACTCGGTTAAAATAAAACTATACTGACTCTATCTAAGGATACATCTGATTTTCGCATTCCTAATACGGAAGCTAAGTATTTTACAAGTTCCGTGTTTGCCTCGCCTTCGACAGGAGGCGCAGATATGGCGACGCCCACTGCATCATCGGAAATATCTACACAAGAATTAATTTCCTCGCATAAAAATGTAAATTTTTCATTTTTGAATTTTACTCCATAAATTATAAAACAATATTACCAGTTATATTGTTATGTTTCGCACCAGGTTTTGCTTGGATCTTTATAGTAACATTTCCACTTTTATCTAGACCGACGGGTCCTTTTGCTTCCTACCCACAAATTATTTTATCAAAGAAACGAGCAAGAAAATAATTATATATTACAAATTCTATAATACTATGTTCACGTTATTTTTTTTTACAAACAATAGTAAAATGCATGTTCAGTGTGAATTATAAGTGTTTTCTTTTATGTCAAATAAGTGAAAATGTAATTATTTTTGCATTATATAACTCAAACAGTTCGAATTTGATTCGGCGAGCCGGCTTTTGCAAAAAGCATCTAGTAAATTGCAAATATAATGTTGCCATTCGTGTATTCGCAAGCGACACCTAGCAGTTTCAAGTGCAAGTTGAAGGTGTACGATAGAAAATGTCATGTTATTTTCTGAATAGGTGATCAAGCCTAGATCACGCTTCAAATTTTTGTTCTTTCAATTGGAACCGGTAAGTGACTTTTCGAAATATCGACTAACCTCATTTGCAGCTAGTTTCTGAGTTTTCCCAGCTTTCTTCGATCCTTGTTTCGACATTTTGCGAATAATCGTTAAACGCTGCAGAATTCTTTCACGTATGCATATATTTCCAAAATACCACGTCATTTATATTTTAGAAACCACTTGCCATTGTAGTTACGATTTCCAAGTTTTACTTGAAATGTATTTGTACGATTCTTTAACCTCAACTGCTCGAACTGACCAATACATCTGCGCACGTGTAGCAGAACTGCCAACATAACTATAGGGGAATACTCGTAGCGCGCGTTTTATTAAATCGCTCACTTGATGAACAACGTATTGTAAATGTAATATGTATATCTTTTAAGATTTGTCATAAGTGAAAAACGATGATGGGAGAATGTATTGTCAACAAATTCCATTTTTATAACAACTGATAATATCTAGATCAACATGCCCAAGAAATTTGTCGGTGAAAATAGCAAAGCTGTCGCTGCTAGGGCGAGAAAGGCAGCGGCAAAGGAAGCCGAAAACTCAAAGAAAGCTTTGGAAGCAGAGGAAAAAGCTTGGCAAGATGATGATAAACAGTTACAGAAGAAAAAACAAAAACAGGTCTGTATGAAATTTAAATACTGATTAAAAAATTATTTCATGTATTTAATTGATATTTTATATTTATCAATGTTACTTACAGGAAGAACAAGAGAAGAAACGACTGCAGCAATTAGAGAAAAAAGCAGAGGTGAAAGCTCTGCTTGAAAAGGAATTGGCAACTATTAAAGTGGGAGCTAAACAACCCACCGCAAAGATTACCAAAGCTGAAATTATGGCTGCAACAGAAAAACGGAATCAAGTAGCAATGAAGAAGAAGGAGGAAGAAAAACCACTCGAGGAGAATTTAAATAGATTGACAATTGAAGGGGAAACAGCACATGGTATAGATGAAGCTTTAACTATTTTAAGGTAAGGACTGGTAATACAATTTTGTAAATGTATTTAATTATTTCTTCGGTAAATATATGGGATTATTGTATAGATTTGTTTAAATTTTGGTAATGTTATCTATTTTAGTACAAAGGATCCAGAAGTTGATCGTCATCCGGAGAAGCGTATGAAAGCTGCATATGCCAGTTTCGAGGAGAAGATGATGCCTATTATTAAGGAACAAAATCCTACATTAAGGTTAAGTCAATTAAAACAGATATTGAAGAAGGAATGGATGAAATCTCCAGAAAACCCACTCAATCAAAAATTACTCTTGAATCGCTGATATTACTGTATCGTCGGAACACAGCAAACGTGCATAACGACTGAGTAGATGACTAACGAGAATCCATGAAATAAGACTTATACATATATAATCATGAATAAATCGAATATATCTGTACACAATTTTATTGTAAACGAATAAGTTATACTCCGGTCGAATGCAGAAAATAACATTGTATAAATCATCTTTGGTATAACTTATACGCTACTATATAGCCTCTACATTGTATTTTACAATTTCATTTACAAACAAACCTTCGTTAAGGACGCGTAAATATAAACAAACATCGTAACAACCGTGTACACGTTTTGGCACAGTTATCATGCAGACTTATACAATTTCTTTACAAATGTGAATAACTCATACTTACTTCTCTATCGCACGACGTTAGATTTAAAAAAAAACCGTAGAAAAATATTTCTAAAAAAAATTGATTACATTATTACAATTGTATAAAATAGCATCTATACAAACGAATTCTCACCAATAGAAAACTAGATTATGTACAATAGGTTCTAATTTTTGTCTCGATGCATTGAATTCGCCGCAGCAAATTAAGCACAAGGCACCACATTACTTTTTTTTTCTTTCTCTAGCATGTACAATGAGTCGAATACCCGTACAAAGAACTTGATTCAAATATAATCTTATGTAATAATATACACGGTTTCACAAATTGTCTTTTGCGTGAATCATATGCACATAAGTATTTTACTACGCTACCATTTCTTATTGTTCCACAAATCTATGAAACAGTGTATCATGTGATTCACTTGCTCCGGGCAATCAGTCATGGGAGTATGGCCGGCTGCTGGAATCGCTTCCAAGAAAGCTTTCAACATGGTCTAAAAGGTAAAATAACCATAATTATCATAAAAAAAAATAAAAAAAAAAAAATTATAAACTACCCTGTAATCATTAAAAAACATCACGAAAAATCAAGATCTCAAAATATCTTTTCAAGTGATAACACTGAAACATTTTTTGTACTCGTAAAATGATATTCTTCGACACTATTAGAATAACAGTTTCCTTGAAAAATTCAATATCACACAAGTTATTTAAAATTGAAATTTTACATATCGAAAGATAAACAAGTTTTGTTGTCCCTTAGGCCATGTATGAGTAACGTCGGCGTGCATATCCTTCTATGGTAAACGTAGTCTCCTTCCGGCCAGACCATTCCATCCAAAACGTATTTCATGTGCGAGGGCCATTGTTCAGGTGGCTCGGGGCCGCAGTAAGGGTGTTGACGGCCCCTCGCGGTATATAATATATTTCTGTGAAGGCCACACATTAAAAAAGGCGCCAGGATCGCTCGGAGGCAACAATGACCGGTACTTTCGGTGCTGGGCGCCGCCAATGGAGTCGGACCACCTCCGGATATTAAGACTAGCTGACGTATCCTACTGTCGTATTTACAGGCCAATGCAGCGGCGAAACTGCACCTGCAACAAACAAAAAAAAAACGTGACAAAATTGTAACTTTATCATTGTACAGATTGTGCAATAAAAAATTTTGCTTCAAAAAATGTGGACCGACTTCGAAATGCGCCAAAAAGTAGGAAATACCCAGAAAGCATATGACGCTTTGAAAACGTCAATTTTAGGTCGAAGGCGTCTTTAAGCCGTTTTCAGGGCGTCATTGAGCGTCACGTGCTAGCTGGGTAATTTCTATTTTTATTATTCATAGAGAAATGCAACAACGGTTGAAAACTTACTTTCTCTTACTAAATAGCATATTATATACAATGAAACCTCAACATTGATATTTCGTACTATTTAGTGTCGAAAGTAATACATACTAGTGGATCAATGGGTCAACGTAAGATGGTTTTCATTATCATTAGTTAGGCTGTAACCATAAAGAAAAACTCAAAGGGAACTACTTTAGACCATTTGGAAGGAATTTTGAATGCAAAATAATAGTTAATAATAAACAAAAAAGATCGGAAACTTTTTGCAAACGGAACCATCGCGGGAACGTCATCTACAAGATGCGAAAGGTTTCATCTCGATTGGTCCATTCGTTGCAGAGTAACCGGTGGACATAAATAAAAAAAAGAAAAGGTACACATTGAATTGTATATCTCCTCTTCGAAGTCGGTCAAAAATATTTTTCTTATTGATTCAGATTTAGAACTAATTCTAATATGTTGCCAAAATTTGTTAAAAAAAGTACGTCAGGGAATTCAGTTTCATTTACAGAAGAAAATGTTTTCTTTACGATATGTTTTCATTAATAGAAATTTGTATGGATGAGCTCGAATATAAATAACAACATGAAAAAAAAAGAACATATGTTGAAACAATATAAATTGTAATTATAACAATATATCAGTTTTTCGTAATATAACATTAGTTTAAGTGTCGCCTGAAGGCTATGTCGAGGCTTTTTAAGAGCGTTTGCAAAGACTCGTCAATGGAATTCAGAATTTTCGCTTAATTTATTCGCGAGTCGGCCGGATAATGTCCTTTCCCTATAATTCATACCGCGGTCGCAAGGCACCGCACGCCGGCGTTCTTAGCTCAATGCCGCAATCTGTGTAGGGCATTATAGGTGTTGATTTTTGTAACTCAACCGAGAAACGGCTATTGAACCGTGTGTACGTGGTTCGTGGACTTGGGCGTATTACCGGCTAAGTGGCCATATTTATTAGCAGTTTACACAATAAAACTCGGAAGACACACCACGGAATATCAATCTTCATTTATATGTGTACATGTTATCCCCTATTCATGGATGTACAACCATTTTGTTCCATTGTATAATTTTAGCGAACAGACATAACCCTGTGTGGGTCGGTGTTGCTACCACAGACGAGATAAAAGAAGAGACCTAACATTTTATGGGACTTGGTGTCCCACGAAAACCACGCAGGTTCGAGCGCACCTCTACATAAAAGTTTCCAATTTCAGGAACTACGTTCGACACCGTGATAACGCACAGCACACATACACCCATGATTGCATATAGCCACACATACATACATTATTTCCCCGGTTTGGCTAGCACGGAATGGAATACTTAAATGGTACGGGGGCTTCTGACGCCCCCGACGTACGGGCCAGAAAATTACATTGCATGCTTATTTTTTAATTTGTTGAATTTTATAAATTCTAGTTTTATCAGTGAATTAAAAAAATCCACACCTGGTTTTAGGGATCAGAATGGTAAGATTTGCTTGTTTTTAACGATAAACAGAAGGACCTGTGAAATTTGATACTGATCGTTGCAAGTATATTCTACATAACGAAGTTAAAAGCATAAATTATGCAAAGCATATATATAAGGAAAAGCAATATATATAAAGGGGAGCATATATAAGGGCAAGCAAATATTATAAAGGGGAATCTACAAACATTTTTTATTTGAAATAGAATTTCTTGAAGTTACTACTACCACTATGCTTTGCAATGTTGAAGCGAACAGGAATTATGAGACGAACGTCAAGAAAACGTATCATGTTTTCTGAATTATCTGATTTCGTTGTAAGAATGCCTCAGAAATTACGGAAGCGCACAATGTAAGCAATATCATTAGAAACCGACCGGAAATGTTTGCTGCTCCGAAGTGATGCAATAACTTGAAGCAAGTGAATTTTAAACGCAAAAGGTATGCAATAATGTATAACGTAATAATGTAATATAATAATATTATACATATTATAATCTTTTCCTTACTTTCGTTGTTACGTCAAACTCAGCAACTTTTCGTTACGAAAAACATTCCATTAATATCCATCGATAATTATTCTATATTTTTAGATACGAAACTGATATGTGTAGCCACGAAGTATGCAATAATTTATCGCTTTTTGCAATTGAAACATGTGCGTTAACTCATACGTAAGAAATACAAAATAAGATTAGCTATAAATTTTACTTATCCTGTCATACGAAAATAATGTTTATCTACACGAAAATAATTTACGAAATTGTATTTTTACGTCACTGAAATTATGTTGTACACATATCTGAATTGTGTTAATGTATCTCATGACTAGATTTCAGATTTTATGCATTTATAGCATAAAGGAATATGTGAAATGCAATTGCAAATAGAACTTGCATCATGTTTAATACATTTTTGGTTTTTATTCATAACCCAACAAACAACTTCAAAGAAAAAAAGGTTCTGTGTTTAATCCTGTCTTTGGAAATTGCTTTATAAAATATTATTTTGCATAAACTATTAATTAACTCTGATTAAATTAAAAATGAAAATCTTTCGTTCATTAAATTAACGATAAGTTCACTTATCAAATATTATTACCATACCCTAATTTACTAGAAATGTATTTTAACTTTTCCAAAGAGGAAAATGTCTTTAATATTATAGTAACTTAACGACATAGAAGTACGTAGAACAGTGAGTGATAAACCGTTCATTCTCAAGAATACAGTAAATTCTCGATAACTGTTCAAAGGCTCTTCGGCGTTGAACATTAAATATTTCATAAACTAATGGCCATATACCGCCGAAACAAATATCATTGGCTTCAGAATTCCAAATTCTATCACTATGCAAAACGTCATTAAAAAGTCAGCGATACACCTAGGGACTTCTTCTTATCACTCCCTAGAAGCCTTCGAACACTCATCGAGAATTCACTGTAACCATAAAAAACAGACGATCAATCCAAAGAACTCGAAGAACGCAGATTAAATGCGCTTTCAGGTTAACTAACCCATTATCCGTTTTGTCGGTTAAACGCGTGCAAATAACTGCGTGCGGACGCGCGCCGATTCAAACGTCAAGGAATTTGTAATCTTCAGATATTCGATAAGGCACAAGTCTCGCGTATACCCTGCAATTACGATACACCAGGTGTTTTTAAATGGCCAAAGATAAGTTACGCGATTACACGGCAGGTTTCTACTAGTCAGGGTTAAATGATTCTATGATAATGAGCGTGGACCGAACAGCATCGCTGGGTCTTTTAATAATGCATGTGAATTATAGTCACCGCCCTGTGAACAGTTCGATTTCGAAATTGCACTGAACTATACACCATCCACAGTTTACTAACAATTCAGACGAATCCCATACACGTTACAGAATATTTATAACACGTTTTTTTTATCTAGAAGTAATTCAACTGTTAATTAAACAAAAATGTTCAGTGTTTTCTTTACTGCTTCTAAAAGTAAAAAAAAAAAGTACAATACATTTTTTGATTAAAAGTTCAGATACTTCTAAATAATTACGTTATTGAACTGTGGATATTTATGTAAATTTAGATTTTCCTAGATCATTTTATAAAAATGGCAATGAAACACAAAAATTTATTTCTTCGGTTTGCGATCTTCGAGGAACCAAAATTGGAGTCAAAGTTTCGTTTACATCGCTATTAAAGCGTCTAGATTTTCGTTTCTGGTACACATGCATACGTTACAAATGTTATAAAAGCTTCAGCGATGGTTCCGGCCATGAAACAATTTCATTCGTAACCTGCGAACGCACGCGACAATTGTTGTCTACTATTCAGGGTCACAGACGAAACTACATTTTACTACTGATTTAGCCTACAATTAGATGTTGAGTATTATTACATAGTTACTTTATACTAGGAGTATGCAATATTTTGAATCAAGATTAATACCTTCTTGTTTTCGTATGCAACTTTACTCAAAATACTATTGTTCAAATATCTGTTCGCAGTTCCCATTCAATGTAAACATTAAATTAATATTAAAGCTCTCGCTTCATTAGCTTATTTTATACTAAAACTTATTCCAGTACATCGAACTCGAATCAATTAAACAGGAATCTTGAACTCGAATTAAATCTAGATTGAGACATACATTTTTATTCCGAGTTCGATATTATCTTTTGCATTTCGTCCACGTTTTCATGTACTATATTTCATCTAGAATTTTTTTTACACGTTATTACTGAATTTTATATGCTACACGGTAACGCCGTTTCAACGCAGCCACTGAAGTTTAAACATTACTTAACCCCACTTACAACATACACGAGGTATAATACATCTTACAATCAGATCTTATTATCCTTCATTGGCGTTCTCGTGCGACAATCAACATTATTGAGTCCTATATTGTTGTATTTGTCGTCGTTACTGTCTTTATACGGCACAAAACTACTATTATACATTATAATCAGAGAAGTGTACGATAATATTTTTTCATTCGTTGTAAAATGTAGAAAATAAATATATGTATATGTATGTAAGATATACGGTATGTACGAGAAATAAAAATAAAAAGTTCTATTTAAATTTAATCAAATTCTTTTCCATTCTTTGACTTAAACTATGCAACTACGACGATTATTTTTAAAACAAAAATTTTTCCTTTGTTCTGTAGTGCATCCCAAATGTTACAACGTTTTCTTTGATAATAATGGTTTTGTTGCAGTTGCATAAATATTACAAGGCATATGTCATAAGCAAAAGCGTTAGTTAGTGAACGGAAAGTCACCGAAAATCGGTCCAACAGGGAACGTGTTAATAGTAACTAATTAGTAATTACTATGGCGGACAATGTGTTAACCTGCTCACTGCATCTTTTTGGTATCGTGTATAAACATTTTTCCCTTCGTTAAATTAAGAACCAATAATCATTATGAGGTTATTTAAAAAATTAAAAATATATTTTTTTTATAAACAATGTGCTCACGATAATGAACGAACCAGTAGTCACCGTAACACCGTTTTTCCAAATGTTTGGATGTCGTTTAAAGAAGTTTCGTGCTACCGATCGTCAAGAAATGTTCGAAATATTGTCACTAAAGTGATAAAGTAGGTGTCCAGTGTAGTAGATAAATACAGTTAGCGCCGTTAGCGAGTTAACACTACGACTACCAAAGCACTCAAAATTACTGGTTAGTACATACATTACGTTAGAAGAATAACGATAATTAAGTTGTTACAATACTGAATTTTCACAAATCTTTTATAACTTCTACTACAATTAAAGTGAAGAAATCAGTTAATTTATAAATTTGTATATTTTTAAAAGTTCGTCGCGATTATCGATGCGATAGAAATAGATATACGTTTATCGTCGTAGTTCTATCGCTAACCCTTCGTGACCCCCCTGGGACTTTTATGGCACAAGCAAAATTTGGCATTTAAAAAAAAACAACCTTTTAACATTTAATTTTGACATCTATTGGATCATGGAGTAGAGACCCTGGAAAGTATCCCTGAGTTTTTCCAGACTTTTTGGAAGCCACTCTAAAGCAAAAAAAAGTAGGTCTGGACATAAAAGACCCATAGGGGTAAGATAAGTAGTAAAACTAACGGGGGTCGCTGAGGGTTAAAGGCTCATTCTCAGAAACCATCACCAAAGTGGAGGACAACAAAAGAGGATAAAACCACTCACCCATAATTGTGCGCTACCAGTACGCACTTCTGTCCGGGCTTGAACGCGTAATGGCATAGGACGGTGTCGAGATCCATCAGCAGTTTGTTAAAGTGATAATCCCTGGATCGACCTGGTGCTGAACTCATACCATGCCCAAGCATATCCGGCGCGATGCAAGGATACCCAAGAGCAGAGAAATATCGCAACTGATGCTCGAAGATCTCCGCAGACGATCCAAACCCATGAAGGAACACGATCATCGGCTTCCTGTTTCTTCTGAAGGTGACCAAATCACGTGGATTCGGTTCATAACCAGCCGTGGACGTTTCCTCGATGTCCGGCCACATCTTCCTATAATCGTCCAGCTCGATCGACGTCGCGTCCCTTTTCGTTTGGAACGCGGCCATCTTCTCGTTCCAGCTGCTATTCTCCAGAGGCTGTTCCTCGGGCTTGGTCGGATTCGCGCACAGCTTTTCCCGCAGCTTCGATATCGCGTTACCCTTTTTGGGCCTCAAGGACGACTCGTCGTTCGGTTTGCCCTTGAATTCCAGCCGGAGATTCTCGAAACTGGGCTCGTTAACAATTTCCTCTAGCTCCTTGGGCTCCACCGTTGGCTGTTCTCTTCTGCCATCCTCGAGATTATCCGTCGAGATATCGATTCCACCTCCTCCTCCTCCTCCTCCGGCGGTTTCAACGCTTGGAGCCCGCGGCTCGCCATCGCTTTCCGCATCGTTCTTCCTCCCGGTGACCTCCGATCCCTTATTGCCTCCTCCTTCTCCTTCGTCGTTGCTCAGCTGCTCGCCACTTCTCGGAATCACCTTACCCGCGCCGTCCCGTCTCTTTGTCGGCCGGCCACGAGGATCGTTGTCCTGGCCACCTGTGCCGGTCAGATCCTCCCAACTGTTCCCAAGCGGCGGCAACGACGACGACGGTGTCCTGCCGAGTTTCTCGTCGATGATCCTCAACAGGGATTGCTCGAGACTGGGCTCCTGATCTGGCTGAAACTCGATCGTCTCGACGCTGTTTATCCCGGAATCGATGCAGTCCAATTGCTCCAGACAGGTGACATCCGTGCCGGTGGATCGTCGCAGGTAAAAATCCAAAGAATCTGGATCGGTGGTGGACCCGATGAAACCACGATTAATGTATCCCTCCTCGTTGCTTAATATTTCGTTCTTGCACTGGGTTCCCTTCGCGTTTCCAGTCGGACGGAACGAGAAGTTGATTGCGTTGAATGACTGTTCATTGCCAGTGGCTGGTTCCTCGCTGGACAGTTTGCTTTCATCCGTGGTCCCTTTATCCTCGCTCGATCGCCTTTCTTTTCTCTGTTTCGAGCCTGTTATATCTTTGATAAGAGCGTCCTCCGAGTCGACGATATACTTTACCGTGTCGTCGAGTATCTCCTCTAGGAGCACGTTGATATACTTCTCCAGATCCTTCACGATTTTGTTTTTAATCGTTTGCTCGTCTACTTGTTGATCGTTCTCAGTTTGCGATTCTGTCCTTGTACGCGTCTCCGTCGAGTCCTCCGGTTTGGTTTGCTGATTTTCAGGAGTATTTAATCGCTGCAAATTTACCGATACTCTCTGTTCCAGTTCCTCGATCGCGCGTTCGTTCTTCTCCGCTTCGCAGAGACTCGTTCTGATCCTGTTCAATTCCGCGGTAATAATTTGCTCCTCGGTGGTACTGAATCGACGTGATTGCCGAAATGAACATCTACAATTGCCGGACGAGTGGGGTCTCCTGGACCAACGGGTGAAGAAATTGTCGACGACTGATTCCGGTCTGTCGGTGGTGTTCTCGTAGTACCAGCCGCTTTTCAGACTTGGTCTCAGGATCCTCAAGGTTCGACGCGGTCCAACGATAAAGAAGTCGCAGTCGAGAAGCTCCACTTTACCGGGCCCGACTCGGTTCCTGTTTCGCCAGTACTCGAAGAATTTCGTGTACCAGGGCGCCCCCATTACCGATGCTTCTCCCTCCGCAGCCATGCTTTAGATAACAATTCGCAACCTTTAGCGATCATAAAGGTCGATCGATCTAAATGTACCCTCGTCGGTCCCGCTACCTTTCGAGCTTTTTTCGCAGATAAAATCGATGAGGTTCCGTGGATACGAATGTTCATCGATAACGAGGAAATTTACCGTCTGTTTTCCTCACGGAACTGTCTGCATTCGGTCACGAGTCTCTGCCGCAGTTATGAACCGAGTCCGTGGTACTATACTCGTAAATAAAGACGAGTTTTATCCGTTCGGTATCGTAATAACGACGCCGTTACCTTCGATGACCATTAACCTCGTATTATTCAGATCTAAGAAAGTAAATCATAGAAATCTTCCGTGTATATACGATTGGATGATTTTATATTTTTTTAGAAATTTTCCGACATCGTTATCGCCTTGATATCTTGCTATGAGATTGTTCTCAGAAACGTTGAATCAAGGATGTACGTAAGTAAATATGAAATAATTCCTCGGTAATCACTTTTATGCAACGTTCTTCCAGGAAACTGAATATCTGTTTGTCGAGTGATATGTACGATCCAGGGGGATATTTAATCGTTTCTTTCTGTTTCCACGTCCATTTTTCTGCCAAAGCTGCTCGGAGTATTCGTGACGCGATCATTGGTTCGGGAAGTTTTGCTCAATTTTCTTTTTTCGCCGACATCGTTCCATCGGGTTGCGTTCCAAGCTTTGCAACACTCCTCTTGGCTGTTCCTGCAATCTTTGCTCGGTCAAACACGATTTCCCCGCGAAAAACGAAAGTAACATTTCGCGTGGCTCCTTGTATTAAGCAGTTCACGGCTCGGCGAATCACCGATGATGATCGTTCCACCGTCGGCACGTCTAATTGCTATCTTCGACGCTTCAACCTGCGGATAACAAGTTTAGTTAGTGGCTGGCCACGTTGCTGGGAACCATATTCGATGTAATAATATCTAATAGGATCCGTGGCGTGTTTTCGGTTAATAATTGAGATACCCGACTAACGAGTAAATACAGTGTATCGTCAAATAGAAAATTGAATATCAAGAATGATATTTAACGATGACGAACCTAACTCAGTGATTCGGCGAAAGAACTATGTTTACTGAATATTCATCGATAAAGCGGGCTTAGGCAGATATAATTTCATATATAAAATCAAAAAGTGATACTTGAAATAATGATACATTCCATTTATTAACCCTCAAAAACGACACCCCACCTCAGTATATATAAACATAACACTAGTGCAAATTAGAATTTTGAATTTTTAATGCTTAATAAGTTGAAGTGAATAATAGCAAATTGAACTTCTGACACATTTTTAACGGTAAAATTTACTGAGAAATTCAATGGTAATACAAAAAAATTGAACGGAAAAAGTGTCCATAACCTCAAAAATGTTATAGGCAGACCCGGAACATCAGCATCTTTCGAGGCACTACTACTAAATATACACGTATTAATGCTTCTGTTTAGATATCGTAAAATTTGAATACCGTATCATGAAAGTTTACTACCTTAGAAACCCACGTGTTATGTTTATTATAATATGGATTAGCAATAGCGATAACTGTTAAAAAGAAAAACCAGACATTGCCATATTATAATCCAGAATGTTTGTAATACTTTTGGGTCGACATTATTTTAATGTCCGTCATTTACATTAATTTTTATTGTTCTCTTTATGAACCAGTACTAAGTTGTATATAGAATTTGGAATATACGTAATATGGGTGTTATCTTTAAGACCTTCTTAACGGACACGTCTTAAATTGGAGTTGGGGAAATAATCTTAATCGTCACATCTGGCACATTCTACAACTAGCATAATACATGCATCCTTCACTGCGTTATTTAATAACATACACTTATACTTTTGAATTTACACGAGTTCGAATAATTATAATCATCACTATATACAGTGAATTATATTTTAAATTCTCGAAAGCGTAAGAAAGTTTTTTATAAATCAGTTCCTTGATTTAAGAGAAGAAACTTGCTGCTGAATTCGAATTTCACTTCAGATTGTTAATTTTAGAAATTTTTGTCGTTAGTTATGAAACTATACACTATTTTCTAATATTGAGTTCTATACGTAACAATTTCCACACCTCTTATTTCCCTATTTTTTTTAAAATGCCCAACGATCAGAAGAAATTGTTCAAGCACACATTAAATCTTCTTTCACAAACTAAACGTTTTTTATAAAATTATTCAACATTTCAATCAAACCAATGAATAAATCGCTACAAGTCATCCCTATCATCGACAATTTTATTTTTCCCGAAGAAATACAATCGCGGCGCTTATCTCCTCGATCAGTGAAACGATGAGCCAATTGTTGCGTCGCATTTTAATGTTGTATCGCGTAACGGATGCATGAATGACGAAGAGACAGGCTTAAAATGAAAATAAAACGTCGGGATATACTTATCCTGTTGGATAATTTTCATTATTGCGTCAACGGAGATATGGATCCTGAATTTCATGAATACGCATGAAATTGATCATGGAAAAATAATCGTGCATATCTGGTGGGTAGGTTTTTGTTCGTCTCGAGTAATATCCGACGAGGTACATTAAAAATTATACGGGTTGTTCCTTGATGCGTGGACATAACCTGAGGAATGAACTCGATAGGCAACAGTAGACAATTTCTTCACGTAACTTGTACAGAATTGGTATACTTTATATTTAGATAAAAACATAAACAAAATATGATTAGAAAAGGGGATTAATCTAGAAGATACTGAAAAACAATTAAAATTATACAGGAAGCAAAACTAACTGTTAGTCGAATATCTTCGGTATTAGGTAACACAACAAAATTCTGTTTAGTAATTTAATGCGAAGGGATTCAACATTGGATAAGATTTCATGTAAAACTGTGTAAAAAATATAACGTTGATACTAATTTCTTTAAATAGTGCTATATATTTGAACATTCACATTTGTGGTATATCTTCTCCGATTATGACTATATTTAGTGAATGAAAACTATAAAACGAAAATTTAATTTCCAGTCTATAAAATAAATTATAGAAATTCTACTTTTTATATTCGTTATGAAAACTTCTGAATCTAGTAGTGCAAGAGAAAATGGGGAGAGAAGAAATCTGGTGGTAAGTAAAAGTGAGAAGAAAAAGAAGGAACATAAAAGGAGTAGTCATACGAGGAAAGTGTGAAATTAAATGATAGCAAAGGAAACATAAAACGATGAGATATCAAGAGAACGATAAGGAATAACCAGAACGAAAGAATCTGATCAAAAACTTGCTAAAACATTTCCTCGTATAGTATCGTCCTATTGTAAGCATTTAAAGCAAGAAAATAACAATCATTGTTGTTTCTCAAAGGTATTCCACGAATTTTCCGCCGATTATACTCCTTTCGCCATTGTTGTCAAACTGGTTGAGATTTTGTTTTTCATATTTGCCGCGCAACGTGATCCAGTTTAAACTCGTACAGAAGCCGCTTTCCTAGATCTCCCGATCAGGTTTCGCATATTTACTGCACCGCGGTGCGGCTTGTCACAATTAAATGTTAGATATGCGTCGTCTCTCTCTCCCTCTCACTGTTTTTTTTTTCTACCGTATGCAAATCCGTCGATGGAAAGTTTGATACGGGTGGTACTTCCGAACTGTTCCCGTTCCGCGTAGTGAGAGTGTACGTCGTTGTTTTACGCCGACCATCCTCGATATAATTACGTCCACGTTCCGTGTCCATTATGCAGGTTATACGAATAAATCAGCTTCTGGCATGCCAGCCGGTTAGTCATCGAGCCGGGAACGCCAGCCTCGAAACGACTTTTTCCATAGACTATAAATATGTTCGACATTGCGGCAAGACGTTCTAACACGCGTTCACGGAAGAGACTAATAAGATATTTTCACAAAATAACACATCAATTACAGGTTATTTTACATTATTTTCTTTTCTATTCATCACACGCGTCTGCTACTACATCTGCTTTAATCCTATCGCAGCATTTTCTTATTCCGCCTTAACCTTAACAATAATACTCTTAACGCCCATGAATTACCAGAAAGAAAAAAATGTTATAACATTGAAACAGGTCTCTGTTCCGCAAAGTTTGTACGTTATTTTAGCGCGCGTATAGTGACAAACGTGCCATTATTACACTGCATCAATAGAATACATTACCACATCCCGATATAACGTCACGATAACATTCTGAACGGTACACGAATTTCCAGAAAAAAAAAAAAACGTTACAGACATACACAGTACGCAAAATTGTCAATTCTTTTAATTCCTCTCTTGTGCAAAGAGATTCCGGGACTTCACTTAATGCATGCCCCGCGGCAAACGTGTCATTATTACACTTACCCTATGAACCTGTCATGTGTATTTAGTTGTCGACCGCCTTTTTTCGCTCCCGCGCGCAGAACACGGTGAGCAGCAGCAACAGCAGCACATACAAACACGTCGATGAAGCGTGGTTCAAAGCTGACTGGTGCTGCGGCCTCTTCCCATCAACCCCGTATGTACACTCTCGTAGAGACCACTTGTTGCTTCTGTCAGTGATTCTCACCTCGTATCGGGGTCACTCAGTCGGAAAATCGTCTTTGGCCCGGGGAACGATAACGATCAGGCCCCAGGGGAAGGGGAGGGGGCACACACGTAGCAGTGGATTCTGCGTGTTAACGCGCGCATTAAACCCGTCAATTGGCACTTCCTCTGTCACGGGCGCGGGACTGTTCCTCGCGTAGAAAAAAATCAGCGGTCCGAGAACGCGAGCTGCAAGGGGGGTCACTTTCACGAGACACGAAAGCTGCCCGACGGGGGTACACGTCGGAAATTCATGTTTGTCGACGCAGGTTCTCGAAGACGTCGGATACATCCGCGAGGGGACCGCGTTGTCGAGGACAGAGAGCAGCAGCAACGGCCGGCCGTTGTCCGTGACGAAGCACACCGTGTCGCAGAGCCCTGTCGACTGTATGCACGCCGAGGTAGTGCGCATTTTCGTGGGCGTGGAGCGGTGAATTAAAACGGGAAAATTAAGAACGATTGACACTGAACCACCGCACGTCGGGTCACGGCGGCCATTGCGCGTCCCGAGGCACACGCACGCCGCGCGCACACGAGGACAGCGCCACCCCACTTTGCGCCGCGCTCCTCTACACGGTGTCCCATTGTGGAGATTGGTTAGGTTCTCGAAGAAGGAAACTGTATTTGTAGTGTTACACGAAAGTTCGGGTAATGTGACAACTTGAAACAGAAAGCAAAATTATTATTTGTTCATTCACGAATTAAATTCAGATGTTTTATTTCGTCGTTTCAAAGAATGTTTTCCTAAGTCCCCTGGTGTCCTGGACAATTTTGCGCGCGCTTTCCTTCAGTCTTGAACTTTTCCT